ACTTCTAACTTTAGGCTAGTAATAGTGAAAATATTAAACTTATGCAAATTCAGTCTTGATGTAGTTACATCTTGACTGCTGATAGACTCAGATTAGAATTAAAGCAGAGGAAATAGGTAAGAAGGCATTTTAGCTCCCAGCTTTGCTTGATAGGTGAAATTGGTTATATCCTCTCTTGTAGTTCTGTGTTGTTTAGCTCAAAAAATATAATAGTGGCCAGCCAAAGAAAATGGCAATTGCTGCACAGATTGGTTTCCCAACCACTACAGTCAGGCCTTCGTGCTTCCCTGTGGCAAAACGAAAATAAGACAGAAGAATACTAGACAAAATTCCTAAGCCAGTTTACTCAGATGCCTAGCAGTTTTGACTGCAAAGCAATCAGGAGCATAAGCCAGTGCTGGCCAAATTCATCTTGTAAGAATCACGTCAGGATCCTGTTTACAAAGGCAGGTTCCCAGGCCTCACCCCTAGTCACTAAAGCTGGATCTTTTGGGAGGGACTCAGGAATCTTTTTTTTTTTTTTCCGGTACCAGGGTTTGAACTCAGGACCTGTGCTTGCCAGGCAAGTGCCTATTGTACTGAGCTATCTCCCTGGCCCGGGACTCAGGAATCTGATCAGCAATTTTAATAATACCCTAAGGGATGCCTATGGGGTTGTTTTATGAAAGATGATGAAGAGCTAATCCCTAGTTTTTGTCACAAACATTAGTATTACCAGACTTTAAGTACACTTTGTAGATCACTGCTTAGGGATTTGGGATGGAGGCCTCCCAGAGACTCACTTTGCTATTTGCAGGTGCGGACTCCCACTGTTCTACCAGTCCCAGCCGAAGAATGCTCCTGTAACCTTCATTGTGGATGGAGCAGTAGTGAAGTTTGGCCAGGGTTTTGGGAAAACAAATATATATACCCAGAAACAAGAGCCTCCCAAAAAGGTAATTATCATTAAAGGAGACGAACGCCCAGCAAACCCGCTTAATATAGTTATAGATTTAGTCTTAGATTTTTAAATAAGGATACAGTACAGGAGAAAATGCATGTAATGGATGCATTCTTTGTCAAGAGAATGCCATTGTTTTATGTTACAGAATTACAGTACCTATGACTTGTTCTTTTTTCTTTTCTACAGTTGCCTGATGAATAAGGTTTTTATTCTCATTTATTTTCTTCAAAACTTCTAGTGTGCCAGGTGCGGTGGCACATGCCTGTAATCCCAGCACTTGGAAGGCTGAGGCGGGAGGATGGTTGCGAGTTCAAGACCAGCCTGGGTTACAAAGTGAGCTCAAGGCTGGCCTGAACTGCATAGTGCAATCTTGTCTCAAAAAGACAAAAACAAAGAAGCAAACAAAAACTTCTAGTGTGAACAGTTAAACATTGAGGGCCAGTGAGATAGCTCAGTGGTCTAAAGTGCCTGCTTAGGCAAGTTTAGGCAAGCACAGGGATTGCAGTTTGATTCCCAGCATGCCCACCAGCCTCACCCCCAGGGTGGGCTGAGTCGGCCACAAAACAAAACGAAAACCAGTTTAACATTAAATGAATTTGGCTTATGTTAAAGTGTATTTTGGAGCTGGATCTGGTGGTGCATGCCTGTAATCCCAGCACTTGGGAGGCTGAGGCAGGAGGATCGGGCAGCTGAGGCTGGAGGATTGTTGAGAGTTAGAGACCAGCCTGGGCTGAGCTCAAGGCCAGCCTAAACTGTAGAGCGAGACTGGGTCTCAGAAAGACAAAAAGAAAAATGTACCTTAAATTTCTTGGGGCAAGGGAGATGGCTCAGTAGAATAAGTGCTTCCCTGACAAGCACAAAAAGGGCCTGAGTTCAATCCCCGGTTCCACCAAAAAAAAAAAAAAAAA